GCCAGCCCAGCCCTGCCCCCCCCAGCCCCTCACTCCCGACCCGCAGCCCAGCCCTGCCCCCCAGCTCTGCCAGTGCCCCTCACTCCCGACGCACAGCCCCTGCCAGCCCTGCTATACCAACTAAAAATAAAGTTACTTTGTTTTCTATGATTAGTGTTGTGTGCAGGGGGAGGGACCCACACAGGAAAACCGCTTGACCCACGAAGGCTCAGGCTCAGTCTGGCACTGACCTGTGTCCGCTCAAGAGAGATCTTGGAGTCACTGTGGATAGTTCTCTGAAAACATCCGCTCAATGTGCAGCATCAAAAAAGCGAACAGAACGTTGGGAATCATTAGGAAAGGGATAGATAATAAGGCAGAAAATATCCTATTGCCTCTATATAAATCCATGGGACACCCACACCTTGAATACTGCGTGCAGATGTGGTTGCCCGATCTCAAACAAGATATATTGGAATTGGAAAAGGTTCAGAAAAGGTCAACAAAAATGATTCGGGGTCTGGAACGGCTTCCGCATGAGGAGAGATGAATAAGACTGGGACTTTTCAGCTTGGAAAAGAGGCGACTAAGGGGGGATATGATTGAGGTCTGTAAAATCATGACGGGTGTGGAGAAAGTAAATAAGGAAGTGTTATTTCCTCCTCATAACACAAGAACGAGGGGTCACCAAATGAAATGAATAGGCAGCAGATTGAAAACAAACAAAAGGAAGTATCTCTTCACACAACGCAGTCAACCTGTGGAACTCCTCACCAGAGGATGTTGCGAAGGCCAAAACTATAACGGGTCAAAAAAGAACTAGAGAAGTTCATGGAGAATGGGTCCATCAATGGCTATTAGCCAGGATGGGCACGGATGGTGTCCCTAGCCTCTGCTTGCCAGACGCTGGGAATGGGCGACAGGGATGGATCACTTGATGGTTCCCTGTTCTGTTCACTCCCTCTGGGGCACCTGGCATTGGCCACTGGACCTTTGATCTGACCCAATGTGGCAGAACTTATGTTCTTATGGCAGTCATGGGCAGTTATTGCTTTAATAATGCCAGGGTAGTTTCAGATCAGAAGATCCACTTGATCGTCCCCTCTGATCGCCCAGGATTTCCTCCCCACGTAACCATGGTCCCCCCTGGAGATACTCCAGGGATGGAGCCCTGGGATCCTTTCTGTAGCTTCTTCTCTGCCTCCATCACCACTTTTTTCCACTGGGCCCAGCGCCGTTCTCAGCTGTGAAGTGGATTCATAGATTCATTGGTAGGGTTTGGCCAAGCATCTTCCGGGAAATATTTGATTTGAAGCCACCAAGAGACAGCGAAGACCACGTCACAGCCCAGAGACTTATCGCCCAGATCCTGAGCTTTGGAGCGTCAATGAAGAAACTCGCCACCCCGTTCGGAACAAAAAGCAAAGAGGTCTTTTCTGTATCTCTGTGAGTTAATTTAATCTTTTTTACATTTACAAAATAAGATTTTTTTTTCCTTTGTCGCCTTACAGTACAGTATAATCCAGGAGGACCCAGACTTCCGCTTGTTTCGTTCAGTGTGTTGGCGAGATGCTGGGATAGGAGGGGGGATTTTCTACAAGGGGAGGGGAAAAGGGACAAGATTCCTCAAAAGGAAATGAACAGAAGTCCCGATCGCACAGTGATTATGGAATTCAGCACCATGAAAAGAGGCAAAAGACTGAACAAAAAACCCCGTCTCACAATGCCGGGGACAGGCCGAGCTTAACATTAAAAAACAAAAAAAACGAACGAAAAAATTCCAGCGAGAAACAGACAAATACACACGATTAAAAAAAAAAAAGGACATTTAAAAACCAACCCCCGAATGCTCAAATCAACCCCTCAATAGCAACCAATAAATAGAGAAATCATTACAAAAATGATGTATAAATAAAAAAAATACACAACAACAGAGGACAATTTACAAATTGCAAAAATCTGAGGCCTGGAGGTAAAAAAAACAAAAAAGAAGAAGCACCCGACGTGTTTCTGGTTTCAAAACAAGTGAGAAGTGGAGAGGCGAAACCTGGCCGGCGGGGGGAGTTAAGGCAGATTTCTGTCCTGCCGTCCTGGCTCAGTTTCTGTGGGTGACCTGAGAGAAGTGTAAATCACGGCTGCGATTGTACGAAACGCTTAACCCAGGGGAAGGCAGCTCCCGGGCGCAGGGTTCCCGCGAAGTCCTGCGCACGGGGCTGGAATCCGAGCACGGTTCCTCGCTCCCCCTTTGCACCATCGTTCGCACAATCGGAGACCCAAGCCGGCGGGAATTGGCTCCTTCACATGAGTTCAGAAGAGAAAAAAAAAAGCAAGCCAGGAACACATCGAATAAAAAGACTCCCAAACCAAGCGGCCAAGATACCAGAAAGCAAAGAAGAGTGAGTATCAAACCACGCACGCCCACGCAAACCGCCCGCCCCGCGCCAATATATATATAAACCAATGTACAATCTCCCACGGCCACAAACGCACAAAGAGGAAACAAAGGGAAATTCCTGCATAAAAAACCCGTATTTTTTTTGTTGGTGGTTGGTTGTGTTTTTTTGTTGGTTGTTTTTTTTTTTGCTTAATTTGCTGACAAGAAAAATGTAAAAAGACGACAAAAAAAAAAAACAATCCAACCCCTTTCCCCGCTGCTGCCGGTTTCTTGGCCCCCCACCCCGCCACCCGCCCCGCTTCTGCAAAACGAACGAGTTAATGCTCCAAGAGATTCTGGCTGAGCTCCAGTCCGTGTTCTCCTGCGTGCGGCCGATCTCCTGTCCCCAGTTGAAGGCCGGCGTGTGTCTGTCAGGGAACCGCCCGGAGGGCTCCGCCAGCCCCTCCGAGCTGCCCAGGATCCACGTTTGTCCTTTTCCTGTCTCCTGGGCGGGATTTTCTCTTCTTTTTTTTTTGTGTGGTTTTTATTATTTTCCAAAAAAAAAAAAAAAAAAAATCCCCCCCCGGGACCAGAAAAGAGAAA